TCCCGACGCATTCACACAAATTATTAATCCAAAGACCTCCTTATTGGTCAAAAGGCGTCTTTAACCGTGAACGTATGAAGCAATGCAGTCTTTTAATAATTATTTTGGTGCATTATCAACTATGCGTTGCTCTGGACCCAACCGACGGCAGTGACAACGTATCACCTCCCCCTCACCTGCCGAAAACTGTCGGCACCATCGTCTACCATCTCCTGGAAGATGCGCGGCAGACGGCAGACTGGCAGTCGGGCGTCGGCCACGTCACCCGTCTGGCGAGGCTGGCGTGGTAGCCATCGCTCCGAGAGTTAACACACCTGGCTTACAGAGGACGGTGCTTTGTGTGGCCTTCGACTGAGGCAGTTAGCCGGTACAGCACCTGTCGCACGGGAGTGGGCAGGATGTGTCACACGCCTGCTGGCCAACGGCATATTGTGGAAGGATGGGCCAGGCTGTTGGATGTATAACTTACTGCGACAGAAGAGTCTGTTGGATCTTTAGCCTGAAGGTCGGATTTATCGCTCACATTGCATTGACGTAAGTGTAAACGTTCGATGTTGATGTGCAAGTGTCGACGGTCCAAATGACGAAGAACGACATTTTGACGCTGTCTTCATCCAGAAAAGCACCGAAGCCTGGCAACGTGCCTTGAAGCAACTCTTGCGCGTCCTCCGTGAGTTGTGACCAGCACTGGCACCTCTGCCTGGCACAAAGCGCGTGCACTCGCACTGGCCGTCAGGCGTCACAGGCCACCGGTCCGCGGTCACTTTCTCATCTGCACGGCTCGCTCAGCTGTAAACAAAAGGGCCACCGTTCCAGAACGGGTGCCGTAATTTGACTGCAGCGACCACCTGTTGCCGGCGCGCGCCGCGCCGCGTACGCCGTCGGCGCGGCACTTTCACCGCCACCGCGCCGCGATCGACTCAGGCGCGCCGGAACCGCCGTGGCGCCAGCGCAGCGCGCCGACTCAGCCAGGGAAAATCGACGGGGTCCACCACTTCCGGTAATGTGTGGTCAGAGCGGACACCCATCGGCCCAACCCAGTCACGGGATACTGCGGGTGACCGGGGACTGCGCCGCCCGCGCAGGTATTGTGCGGGCGCGAGCGCCGTAGGACAATGGAATACTGTGGGCGATCCAGTACCGCCGTATATAGGGCCTTGGTACCGCCGATGAGCGCCAGAGATAGTCAACTGAAGTGCGAAGATGGGTCGCTTTGGCGCGAGAAAGTTGAGTGGAGGCGATGGTTTGTAGTCTCACGTTGTTGGCCTTTGGGTTTGGAGCATGTCAAGGCATTTGCCTACATGGTCTTGGCCTTCGAATATCATAACTTTAACATATGTCCCTGCCCGCTGCTACCAGTGCCTCACCCTCGATCCACGGCTCAGTGCCTTTCATTCGGTCACGGTTGAGACTCCACACCCCACAGTCGACCCTTCCCCGCCGTCCAGTCCCTCCCCAGTCAGCTCGACACGCCTCTTAGTCCCCGCGAGGACGGCGCGGTCCGTGCGCGCTGTCCGTACGGCCACTATCGCCGGCTCTGATTAACATGGTCCTTGACCGGAGATCAGCCAGCCGTGGTTCATTATATGGTAATTGGAGTACCGATCTGCCGTCGGTGCGTGAAGCGGATTTGACTCCTAGTCGGACAACCTTTGACCTCGTGCCGTAACGCTCACCAGCAGCGACCGTGATTTGGCCAGGACAATGCAGTGGAAGTAGTGGTTGGTCCTTGACTGGACAATTGCATAACGCACAAGCAGAGGCAATATACCTATCCCACACTGATACGTGAAAAGAAATCAGAAGATCATAAAAGGTCACCCTCAGGTCTGCTGAGGCTGAGAATACCAATATACATATGTATGAGCCGCAAAGACCAAAGACGTGCAGACATGCCTCAACAGACGACCAAAGACGTGCCAAAGACGTGCCTCAACAGAAGTAGCTGTTGTGTATGGCATGTCGCATGTGTGGCATATCTTCTCGTCAATATCTCGAGACATTTCCTTTTGCACACAAGCCACCCACCACACCTTTGCCCACGTATGTTACCTTTCCCACCCATCTCGACCCGGACCCTTCTCTGCACCCGGCCGAGTGGCCGCCAGCGGCCGGCAGCGGCCTTGGTAGCTGCGGCAGCTGGCGCAGCTCACGTCAGTCGCCGTGAGAGCGCTCCGGAGAGCTTCCCCGGACCACGCGCCGTGTCCTTCTACAGCCCAGCCTCGGGGAGCCTGGGACGGGCAGGGTGTGGCCGAGTTCGGCGAAGGAGGTATAGCGAGCTACCGAAGGATGAGGCATGGCTGCATGACACGCAACCGTCGGCATGAGAACGCCGGACGCTGTTTCAGGCGAACCTTCATCTGATTGTCATGCCCAAAAACCTGATCAGAGTGTTAGATGTCGTTTTCAATAGGCAAATATAAATGAGCGGACCTCCGCAAGCGTTCGTTCGCCAAACACTTTCTGACCCTCAAACATGTTTGCTTCGATATGAAGGTCGTTCTGGATCACGCCCAGAAACACCTGCCGCCTGCAGCCACCACTCAGCCTCGGCTGTCGATCTGAGAGGCCCAATCGGCAGTCTGTATACACCCGATTCCTTCCCAATCACATTCCGGGCACAGCGGCGAGGCTGGGCTGGCGGAGAGAGGCCGAAATCGGTGACCTCCATGATCGGTACAATGGCTCAGAGCCGTCAGCGCCGGAGAACACACGCCGGCCGGCCTTTCACCATCAGAGGTGATTGAAAACTCGGACCATGGCCGCCGCTCCGCGCGCTCACCCGTGTCGGCGCCCCGTCGAGCCAGCGCCGCTGTCCGAGGATGCGCACCCGGCACCTCTACTGAGGCGTGGGAGTGGGACCGTGGAGGCGGTTCCTGGTAGAAGGGTGCGTCCAGTTATAGCAAACATCTCACATAGAAACACTTGAGGATTTGGCGTCATGTAAAAGCAGTTGCATGGCTGCCGATGGATGAGCAAAATGTGGCAGAAATGCAGCAGTTTGTACCTCATGGAAATTGGTATATGGCTGTCGGTGTGTCGTTGTGTCAAAAACCGATAGTTCTAAAATATGTGAGAGAGACCTTCCGTTCACAGACGGCCCTGGCCGACATGCGTCGACCAACCCGTGCCGCTCATCCCTCTCGTTCGGCCATGCATCTTGCCTCCTGCTGGTCGTTCGTCGCGGCTCCTTTCTCCGTCGGTGATGGAGTGGACGCCTTGGACGCATGTCGCCAACAGCTGCGACCCATCCGGCCCGCTGGTAGAGCAGGCGTTTTAGATACATCACGACGGCGGCGCGGTGGCCGCTGTAATGAGGGGCTTCGGTCGGCGGCGGCGGCTGTGTCTGCCCTCCACACACGAGACGACGGCGCCGGAGGCTGCGGCGAAAGCCTCCATCTCGACCGATCACAGATAATTCCTGAGTTCTGAGTCATCACGCTGAGGTCTTGGAAGAACCTAACTATAATCCCACTTATATATTTTGAGTCTTCATCAAGTGATTTGAAGCATCGAGTTAGTTATTTGCGCACATGCTTAGATCACCTCTTGTCAATCTTGAAAATGTTATAATTCTGCCGAACTCTGAGCCTGGCTCCAATGAAAAACGAAACCAATGCGTTGCGACCCAAATATGGTGCCGGATGCGCCCGGCGCTAGGCCTCAGGGCTGATTTCTAGCCTGTCCTAGACTTTGAACGCTGCCAGACCGAGTAGCCGGCGGGTCAGCCAGCTCATGCGGACCCAGTAACTGGGAGGGCACGGGCGGCGCTGTTCTGTCCCGGCCGTGGATCCGGCGGACGGTCACGGTTGGCGATCACCAGACGCGCTCAGTATGGATTCGGGACACCTCCGACCACAGCCGCGGCGACGGCGGCGCATTGAGGCGGTCGTGGCGCGGTAGAAACGCGCCGTTTTGAATGGGTGTAATCAGCCGGCCGGCGGTACAGTGTCGGGGTTGAGTTCCAACTCCAGTGAGTCGGAACGACTGAAATATCACCCATTTTAGAAGTTTTCTTACAAGCGATCACCACGAGAGTCTATTACCAATATTGCATTTTGCAGTATATAAATCATGCAGATCGCAGAAAAATGTGCTATTCTCCAATGCTCCTCCTGTGTAGAAATAACTTTTTTTGTTATACAAAGTAATAATTGGGATACTATACCTATTATGTATGTCATGCAAATGAGCTCCATTATCATATGGTATTGGAGTCAGCCGGTATACCTTGCATTGGTCGATACCGTAGCTGATCGATCGTTTCGTCAGACGAGAGTCATGTAACCCGTTGTTGATGAGTAGCAGAATCTCACTGGCCCGCGAATAAGCAAAGATGGACGCTTATTTGTGTTATGACGTCACATTTCGGTGCAACTCAGGGCTTATCTGGCAGCAGTTATCAGACCCATCATGTCAATGCTCGATAAGTACCGGATCGGGTTCTGGGTATAGTACGCCGATCGACGTGGTGTGACCGCACTCGAGCATTGTCGCGCGATCGATGATTCGCATGGGGCGCACTCACCAGCTTTCCTATCATAATAACCAGCTAGGACCGGACGTGGGTATCTGCAGAGCCTCTTGTTGTTATCCTTAAAACGTCAACAGCCAATATTGGCACTCAGATCAGACGTCAGTTTGGGTACGTCATCGATGACGATTGACAGCTTATCTTTAAAAAGCCTAAAAAAGTGGTATTTGTATTTTGTGAATTGAATCGACGAAATTAAAGCATCATATTCACATTTTTTAAGAGAGTTAGCGTAGCTTTCGGTCCTGAAATGGTTGGTCCTATTTTAAATTCCAATTTTGTGTTTTTGATGAATGCGCTTTATCACGCCGGTTGTTGCAGTGCGCTGAACTCATCCATGTCATGGTGACGCTTATTACTATGATACTTTGCTTGTTGTACATATATGGTAAAACAATCCCATCGGCTGATTTGTGTGCTTCTGTTCGTTGTTTTTGTTGTGACTGTCGACCCCTTTCATTCACAGACGACGGAGATGCTTTCGACTGGCTGGAGCAGGTCGGTTTCCACTCGCTCGTCTCGGAGCCGGAAGGAGCAGCGGAGGACGCGGTTCTCCACTCACTAACTCCACAGCAGGTCAGGCGACAATGAGCGATGTGGGTGAAATAAAACATATGTTTTTTCTGTGGTCTTCGTCAGTCAAAAAAGTATCCGTTGCAAGTTCTAACTGTTCTATTCTCGCCCACATACACTTCATGCACAACACCCTGTGTGCATGGTTACATATGTAACACAAAATCACGCATAAATATAAACTCTTCAACAATTACAAATTACATCAAGTTTCGCCACTTCAGTGTCTGACCTTACTCCCCTACAGGCAGCGGCTGTGAGGCGCAAGGTGGACACATATCGCGACACCCAGCGGCGGCGCAGCAAGGACAAGGGCCGGCACGTGGACGTGCGCTCCGTGTTCCCCTCGGAGGCGGCCAGTGCCGACTCGCGCAGCCGCTCCGCCACGCCGGACTCCCTGGACTCGCTGTCCCCGCCGCGCTCACCGCCCGGCTCGTGCTCGCGGCTCGACGCCGGCTCCCCGCACAGTCAGGGCTACCACAGCAGCTCCAGAGGATCGCTGGACCATCTCGAGAGAGTTGAGGAGGGCGACAGGTGAGTGAGGGATCTGGAAAGGAGCTGAGGACAAGTGAGATAAGCCAACTGAAGAGAGCCGAGGAGGGAACTGTCGTGTAAATTGTCTTCCTAAAGATGCACTAGGAGGATATGGATAGCTGGTTTTTCGTAGCCTAAGGTGACGTTTAAACGACATCCAAGAGGCTGACCGGATTTTAAAGTTATGCTGGCAAATATCTTTGATAAGTAAGCCTTGCATCTCCAAAGATGAAAAACGGAAAGGTCACAACATACGCTTACTAGTAACGCTTACACAGTGGGAGCGAATTGATAAAAAAATGAAGATGCAAATTTAGAAAGATAGGGTCATTACTTGATTGCGCGTCTTGCCAGTTGTTTCGGTTTGGTTTGACAATTGTTTCGCCTTATTTCACAGGACACCAGAGTACCGCCATGTTCTCCGTATTCCCGTGGACAAGGTCGCTCCTGGTTCATCGCCACCCAAAGCCGGTAACGCTACCTTTCAGCAGAGCCATGACGCCTTGGACCGGGTCGGAGCAAAGACGAAGAGCCTCTTCATAGCTGATGCCACCGGCCACTACAAACCAAGCCGCAAGTCGGCACCGCCTGACTCCAGCGGTGAGTGCTATTACTTGGTTGCAGGTTCTAAGGTTTATCTGAAACCGACCTGAAAGGTTTATCGTGCCAGGGATTCAAGGCCTTCGTACTTTTGAATGAAATATCTTAAATACACTGAGATTGTGTAAGGAGACGCTGCGGATGCTCATTGCTCAACGAGCCCGCGAGTGAAACCATGTGCTTTCCTCGCTGTCAGGAATCGAGGCGGTGTCGTACAACCCTTTGGGCTCGCTGCGTCGCCACTCGGAACGTTCCGGGCTGGGAGAGGTCGGCGAACTGCACATACCGCGTCCGAGGACTGGCTCCAAGTCTGATCCAGCCAGACGGCGCAGCAGCGACGACCTGGTAAGTGGAACAAAGTCGCGTGGTGAGGCGATTGTTGAAATTAAATGATTCAGTGCTACCTCTTTCATTGGACAAGTCCGACCCTACCAATATGATGAAGACCAAAATCTTATCTCACTTCGTTGATCTCCCACAGTACCGGCTAGGCCGCACTTTCATCGAGTACCTCAGCGAGGACGACGTCAAGCGCATCCAGAAGCTAGCTTTCATCGATTTCACAGTCATATTCGACGAGCACAACCTGAGCTACAGCCGCCGGAAGGCCCGGAAGCGCCGTCTGCGGACGCGTCCCAGTGTGGCCGAGAGCGCGGTATTCGGGTGCGCCCTGACCACGCTGATGGAGCGCGACCGGCGGCGGCAGCCGGACGCCTCGGTGCCGCTGCTGCTGGAGCGCGTGCTCACTCATCTGGAACAGCGCTGTCTGCACGAGGAGGGTTTGCTGCGCGTGCCCGGTCACCAGCAGAAGGTGGACCAGCTCCGGCGCACCGTCGACGAGCGGTTCTACAGCCGGCCCGGAGACGTGGACGAGGCGCTCCGCACCAGCAGCGCAAACGACGTGGCCGCGCTGGTGAAGCTGTTCCTGCGCGAGCTGCCAGCGCCGCTGCTGACCCGCGAGCTGATGGACGCGTTCCACCAGACGGACGCACTGCCGTTGGGTCAGCAAGTGGCCGCGCTGAACCTCCTCTGTCTCAAGCTGCCCGAGACCAACAGGGCCGTGCTGCGGCGACTGCTCGACTTCCTGGCAGCGGTGGCGACGCGCGAGACGGCCAACAAGATGACGCTGGAGAACGTGGCCATGATCATGGCGCCCAACCTGATGTGGCCGGCTCAGCGACGGCAGAAGGACATCTCTGTAGAGGTGAGGCTCCTGATCTGGATAACTGCTTCTTCGACTAATTGTGTAACTCTCATCAGAACGAATGTTGTCGCATTGCGCCGTCTTAATTGCTCTGCATCGCAAAAGTCCCACCCAAGCTCTTATCCCCATTGCTTATTGTTCAGGTGTGCCTTTGTTTTGTTTTCGCATGGCAGCTTGTCGCACATCAGTTGGAGCATTGAGCATCCAGTGTACCACGCACTTGTTAGCATAACATTTCTTACCGGCGACAGATCGAGTATGCGGCCGTGACATCGCGAGTAGTGAGAAATATGGTCCGACACCGTGACGGTCTGTGGGAGGTGCTGCCAAAGTTCATCGGCCAGGTGCGCCAACAGCATGAAGCGGAACAGCAGCTGAAGGCGAAGAAAGACCATTCTCGGCAGGTAAGGCTAAACACTAGCCTGGCAAACGGCGCGTGTAACGTTCTCAATGCACTTTGCTCATTGGAGACCTCTTTTGCTTTAGAGTCTGGCTAGAAGTTTATTGCTGTTTAACGCGCAAGGATATTATGAAATGACAAGTATTTAGTTATTTGGAACGTATGCACATCGCGCTCTTAGAAACATATGCGATGGAAACGTGTAAAACAATGAGGTGACTGGATAAGACAAGAGGTCAGACATTGTAGCGATATGTAAAATAGGCTGGGAACATCCTGATTTACTGCTAACTAAATTATAAAGTAAATGCTACATTCTAACGTTCTTCTTCTGAACGTCAGGTTAAGAAACTTCTGAGGAAGAAGGAATCACCTGTGGCGCCCAAGATCGAGAACGAGAAGGAGCTGCACGGGTGTAAGATCCAGATCAGGGCTCCCCAGTTCGACAAGCATTGGAACGACGTGCCACTGAAAGAAGGCACGACGGCTGGAGACGTCGTCAACAGGTACGGAACAGACCTTGAAAATGGCCGTCAGGTGGTAGTGCGAGCATCAGGAATACGAGTTTATAGCAGAATGTAAGGGGTATGTTGAATGCGAGACTTATGTGCACCCAATTTGAGCAAGAGTTTAAAGGGCTCACGATCGATCAGCGCCACGATCATTGAAACCGTGCCGATGCTAGGTTCTACGGGCTGCCTGTATCGGTTCACAGCACGTATGAGTACTCGATATCACGCTTCATCACAACGGCTTTGTCCGACAGGTACCTGTCTCCGCTGCTGCTCAAGTCGGAACTGGAGGACCGCATCCAGGGAAGGCGGGGCTCCCATCGACAGGGCAACGGGCCGACCCCGAGCGGGGTCACCGCCTGCCTCAAGTCCGACACCGGAGCGGGCAGCGTGCTCAGCGCCCATTTCCTCTTCGAACAAGGCGGCAACATAGGTATGTGAGACCACTCGCAGCTCGGAAACGGTTCAGATGTATACGAGTATGGCTGGCCGGTGTCGTTACTCTTTTACCTTTATGCTGCGTTAGGGAGAAGCAGTACCTGAATCGCAGGATGTGACCTGTTTCGTGAGTATTTTTGACTGTAATTGATTTCAACTTGAACCCTTGATCGCCATTCTCAAAGTTTTGTTCAATTCAGAACACTTTCCAAGGCAGCGTGTATTTCGCACATGATGCTTTCGTTTTTGTTTGTTTTTGTTTGTTTTGTTGGGTTAGGCCCTTTCGGTCTGACGAGACCATTTCAGGGCCGGAAGGATGATAGGAATCAGGGGTAGACATTGGTCTGGGCAGACACCCTAGAGAGTCGCCGGGACTGAGCCCGTCCGAAAGGACAGGCCGACCAGCCCCCCAAGCACTCTCTGCACCCGGCTACGGGGTGCGCTCCCTCGGGAGCAGCGGTGCCGCTCCAAAGGAGCAGCCCGCATGAGATAAAGGTGCCTGTCCAGCCAGGAGTGGGGGTTGCGGCGTGGAGGAGGATTTCTGTGTTCTGAGGATGGAAGCGATGGAACGGAGGATGATGCTTTCGACAGCATTCTTATTTCGACTTTGCTCACCTCACCCATGTTTTGTTTGTAGGACACCGTCGGATCGACCACGACGCCTCCTTGCTGGACTGCTACCGCGCCAATCCGAACGCGCAGTGGGAGATCCGCTGTTGTCACGGCAGCGACCTCTCGGCAACAGTCGAGATCGTCGCCGATTAGTCGCCGATCGCAACTAGTCATATCGAGGCGTAGTGAGCGTGCACGTGTTAGTGGTGCCATCTAGTGGCGACTAGTGAACTTGTGATACTGTAAACGGTGCGGCAGAAGAGGTGGTGGTATGGGGATTGGTGATTCGATGTTTGCATCAATGGACGGAGGAAGATGTCGAAGGGAGGGGACGCGTGAAATCGATGTGGTAAAGAACTGATATGGGTACGCGAAGATGTGAAAATTTAAAGAGCGGTAAGGTATAGTGAGATGAGCGATGCTTCATGTATGGTTTGAAAGACATTCGCTTGGCTATGGAAACATCCCATGAGGAAAGCAGAGTATGACTTACCGTAGCGTGTGTATCAGGTTTCGGGTAGAGGCAATAGCTGCTCTGCTTGCACTGTGAAACCGATGACTGTGATTGTCGATATTCTATCGACGTCCATTAATGTGGCGATGTCTTGATATCGCTGCGGCCCATTATGAGTGCTGGATGCACCTCGCCTACTAAGCATTTTCTGTCACGAGCGTTTAGGGACATATATCTAGATTCTAGATATAAGATACCAAAGGATTTATTTTTACGCGTTTGCTTCTTATGGAAGGTCAAAACTGATCTTTTTCACCCACGTTTGGCACCACTTTACAGCTAAATGAACAACTTGTCGGTGTCACTTCGAATGCCGATGTAGGCATGTTGATGCATATGAAGTCTTTATAATCATTAATATCGAAAATGGATGTGGTATTGATTCAGACTTGTGTATCGAAGTGTCATGATTATGATGAATATGCGTGTAAGTGATTTCTTGCGAGTTTGAATATTGCTCATTGCTGAGTATGCATAAATAATCAAACAAAATGAATTGGTATCGTTTGGCCTGAGGAAGCACACCGTACATGGGAACATGATAATATACATGCATAGAGAAGTATTAAAGATGGCGCACTGTATCAGATTTAGGCATCTTATGAATTGAGTGCAATGAAATGAAATGATGTGTAAGCCGCTGTCGCTGCTCTAAAGTAGTACATATCTCCTAATAATGAAAATTTGGGGCATACAGCAACTACAAAATGTATTCAGCAGCGATGCTTCATCAAAATCCTTTCAACCCTGATTTTGGCAAACCATCAAAAGACATTAATTATAGATAAGTAACAGGTGTACCTATAATTTTGCTCCTTGAGAAGGCTAATGCGCTTACCGCCACAGTTTGCATTCATATGGCAATTATGTCCTTCCGACAGAAGTTTTCCAATGTGGAATAAATGGGTCGTCACGGGCGATGGGTGGTAGGGCGAGCTTTCCTGCATTATACTGCCCATGCGTTGTCGCGGTATTGTGAGATCGGAACTGATTATATCAATGGTGTGTGTAAAATACATTCCTATTGTATAAAAATTACCCCGGGATGGAGTTTAGGTGATGACTATCAATGAGAGTAAAAGGCGATAAAACAGCGCATGGAGGATTAGTTAGTTTAGGTCCCACTGCAACACTAAAACTGAGCTTCAAAGTGTGAGAAACCACATCAAAGGATTTCGTACGTCTGCAAGCACTATGGATGGCACTATTTCATCGATTGTCGTCGATGGTGCCACCACTGCCCACTGCGTTGCAGAGGTGGTGCCACCGTGGCGGGGGCGCCAACGCGGCGGTGGTGACGGTGGTGCCCCCATTGCGTCCCTCCAGAGGTGGCGCCACCGCGCCGGCAGGGGCGCCAGCGGTGGTGACGCCTTTGGCCACAACTCACAACTTACCGAATGAGGAGGCGGCCCTCTGCGGTCACCCATCATCACTGGTATAGATATCGCTCATAGGAGCAGGAGGGGTTTCCTTTCTTTTTCTGAAGACAGAGTTGCGCCAGCAGTCTCACGTCTCACCAGCAGAAGTTTTTAATCATGACTCCTGAGATCGTGAATTAGCAGCATAAGGAGACGACGCCCATGGTCGCATCAGTTACCAGCATAGATGCTGTGCTATGGGAACACACCAGAATGTGGTGCTGTTTGTTTGTTTTGTTGGGTTAGGCCCTTTCGGTCCAATGAGACCATTTCAGAGCCGGGAGGATGATAGGATATAGGGGGAGACATTGGTCTGGGCAGGCACCCTAGTGAGTCGCCGGGGCTGAGCCCGTACAGAGGACAGGCCACCCAGCCCCAAGGCACTCACTGCACCCGGCTACGGGGTGCGCTCCCTCGGGAGCAGCGGTGCCGCTCCAAGGGAGCAGCCCGCATGAGATAAAGTTGCCTGTCCAGCCCGGAGGGAGGTTGCGGCGTGGAGGAGAAAGATTTCAGTATCCTGAGGATAGAAGCACGGAACGGTCGTATGTGGTGCTCGTTTCCATACCATAACAGCACGAATGTTGTAGAGTTTAAAGGGAGTAGACCTCGTTTCCACACTAGCTGTCTCCGTATACCTATTTACAGTTTTGATATGTCATGTCGAGTGATAGTACCTAACGTCAGAGGTCGAAAATCATCGGATACTCCAGCCGAGAGGTGGCAATTTTGATAACGCACATGATAAGAGCACGAAGCTAAAACATGTCATATCCAAGTGCTTTGACACCCATGAGATGACGCATGTGTGATAAGGTACTGAACCGTACCCAAACTATGCATAGCAACTCATGAAGACCGAAATCAACGCCCATGCCATAGAGCCCAACGCAGCCGCCGGGCGGTGTGTTTGCCACCGCGTGATAAAATAACGGGTTTGTTAGCGTACGGCACACAGGAAAACACAGCAGAATGCCTTCCTTGCGCGGATGTATGACGTCATACAATTACAAATCGACTCTGGTCGGACGCCGACACATCCGTTGCAAGCCTCCGCTATTGGTGAAGGACAAACACGTGCCGTGAACCTCTACGTGCTTTACGAATTACGATAGCTCAGCTAAGAAAAGTGCATTTAACCAAGCATGAGGCTCTTGCGCATTAGATACATCCGAGATGAACTTACTATGCTCTAATTATCAGTTACTGTCAATTCCTTATTAACTTTGTAAGTCGCGGGGTTAGTCACGAAGCCATGGGTCTATTGTGTACCAATGATTATAGTATAGTATGTCTAAAAAGAATGTCCCCTCGCCACCACGCGGCGCTGGTGTCGCGAGCCGGTAGTTGGCTGAATCCGGACCAAACCACGCATTCCCATGCGCTGGGCGGCAGCTACGCAGTGGCTGATAGTAGCGTAATCCCGAACCTTCGTGACACGACCTCGGGAAGGAGGGAGGGGTGTGGGCGGGGAGCGCGTGGTGCGCTCCCCCGCCCGCTAAGGAGCGGTGCGCCGCGCGGCGCGCGGTATAGGCTGACGGCTGTCTCGGCCAAAGGGCAGGGGTCACACACCAAGCCAAGGAGTGCTGATGAGGGTTCGTAGTTTTGCCACGTTTGACACGTTTGCTACGGGTGCCACGTTTAGCGACGTGTCTGAGCCAAAAGGGAGCGTTGAAGAAAAACATCTGGCTAACCACATCGTGGTAATAGTGTGCCAATGCAGGCCTTCATGACCATAAACAGCTTTTCTAAGTTAGCAGAGATCACCATTGAACAACAATATCCGGATCGAAGTAAACGATGCCGAGCTACTATCGCTGCAAAAACACTCCTGGAAATTTGTGACAGAAAAATACACTCGTCATTTTTGTTTTTTAATGTTTTGTTTCAGTTTTCCTTTAATTGATCAGAAAGAAAAACAAAATTGAAATAAAAAGGAAATTTTACACTTTTTTCATAAAGTGAGAACTTTGGATAGTTCATCTTTGGTAGACGCCTAATAAACAATAGTGTTCGCCGAGGAAACTTATAACGCGTTAACCAGGTCAGGGTCAGGTAATATAGCCCAAGGCAAGAAATCGGTTTTTGATAAATAACCGCAAAATTGCCGCAGAGCCGCGGTTTTTGCATAATCGTTTATTTCGCCTCGCTCAGAGGTGTCGAATGGTAGGCATACGTTTTGTTCGGTTGAGGTCAACTGAGGTTGACCTCAGATCAAGGTCAGGTCAGAGTCCTAGGTCGAAGTTGGTTAAGGAGGTGATATCGCATATCATTTGATTCGACAGGTCTTCCACTGCATTGGTAATGGTGGTTTTTCCCGACTCGCTAGCCCAATTTGATCGGGAGCTATTGACGAAAAACTTATGGCCTCAATGACGTCATAAATGACGTTACGCAAGGTCAACAATGCAAAATTTGCAAAACACCAAACCTCTCTCTCTCTCTCGTCTCTCTCGCTCTCTCTCGTCTCTCTCGCTCTCTCGCTCTCTCTCGCTCTCTCTCGCTCTCTCTCTCGCTCTCTCTCGCTCTCTCTCGCTCTCTCTCTCGCTCTCTCTCGCTCTCTCTCGCTCTCTCCGCTCTCTCGCTCTCTCTCGCTCTCTCTCGCTCTCTCTCGCTCTCTCTCGCTCTCTCTCGCTAGCTCTTCGCTCTCTCGCTCTCTCTCGCGTCTCTCTCGCTCTCTCGCGCTCTCTCGCTCTCTCTCGCTCTCTCTCGCTCTCTCTCGCTCTCTCTCG